GGTAATTAATTCTAGAGAAATGAATAATTATAGAGAAATATAGAGAAATTAATTGTAAAGAAATTAATTATAGATAAATTAATTGTAGGAAAATTATCGAAAAATTATGGAGAAATTAATTATAGAAAATTTAATGATAGACAAATGAATTATAGAGAAATTAATTATAGACAAATTAATTATAGATCAATTAAGGAGAAATTATAATGAAATTAATTATAGAGAAATTAAATATAGAGATATTAATTATAAAGAAATTAATTATGGAGAAATTAACTATAGAGAAATTAAATGAATTGTAAACAAATTAATTATAAAGAAATTAAATGAATTGTTAAGAAATTAATTATAAAGAAATTATAGAAAAATTATGGAGAAATATAGAGAAATTAATTGTAAATAAATTAATTATAGAGTAGGTAATTAATTCTAGAGAAATGAATAATTATAGAGAAATTAATTAATTGTAGAGAAATTAATTGTAGAGAAATTAATTATAGAGAAATCAGTTATAAAGAAATTAATTATAGAGAAATTAATTGTAGAGAAATTAAATGAATTGTAAACAAATTAATTATAGAGAAATTAAATGAATTGTTAAGAAATTAATTATAAAGAAATTATAGAAAAATTATGGAGAAATATAGAGAAATTAATCGTAAATAAATTAATTATAGAGTAGGTAATTAATTCTAGAGAAATGAATAATTATAGAGAAATATAGAGAAATTAATTGTAAAGAAATTAATTATAGATAAATTAATTGTAGGAAAATTATCGAAAAATTATGGAGAAATTAATTATAGAAAAATTAATTATAGACAAATGAATTATAGAAAAATTAATTATAGATCAATTAAGGAGAAATTATAATGAAATTAATTATAGAGAAATTAATTATAGAGATATTAATTATAAAGAAATTAATTATGGAGAAATTAATTATAGAGAAATTAAATGAATTGTAAACAAATTAATTATAGAGAAATTAAATGAATTGTTAAGAAATTAATTATAAAGAAATTATAGAAAAATTATGGAGAAATATAGAGAAATTAATTGTAAATAAATTAATTATAGAGTAGGTAATTAATTCTAGAGAAATGAATAATTATAGAGAAATTAATTGTAGAGAAATTAATTGTAGAGAAATTAATTATAGAGAAATCAGTTATAGAGAAATTAATTATAGAGAAATTAATTGTGGAGAAATTATAGATGACATTCCATTCCAGCGATCTGCGTTAGAACATCGCTTCTATATTTCACCTTTTCGTTCGTTGTAAGTTTTTAGATTTTAGCTAGACCGTCTGGACAAAAAACTACAACGACCAACCCAGACCACCCTTAAAACATTCGAAATCTCAAACAATACGCTTCTAGATTAAGGTACACCGTCGCGCGAATCTATGAATCGGTAATTTGCAAAGGAGTGTTCTTCTCTTCGAGTGGTCCCCATAAAAAAGAGGGTCAATTAGTTGTAGTTCACTCTAGACGTCTGCGCTCGCCTATATACACTTGGCAGTGACCTTTTCTCCTCCTTGATTTCCCACAGACTCAGACGCCATTGTAAAGACACCCTTTTGTCTACATTTGTGACCCTTTTTAACGGCGGCCGCGGCGAGCTCTCCCTTAAGGCGCTCCTGGGGAGAAAACAACTACACTTACACAACATAACCTTAAACCAAATCAAAATCAAGTTACTAAGGATCAAGTTAAAGGACTTCAATATTTAAAGGATACTTTAATCGTATTCTTACTGAAGGATTTACCATTTCTTTCAAACAGACAAACAAAATACTTTGTCCACTGTTATTTTGGTTAATCTTTATTTAGGAACAAATTTAAAGACTTTTTTCTAACTTATTACAATTATAAAATGTTGATGTAGATTTTGAATTACATGGGGAAATGATGGAGAACAGATACATAATTATATTTGTTGTAATACTAATTTTTTTAATCCTGTTAAGTTGTACATACATAATCAATGTAGAAGTGTCTTAAAATTATGCTATGCATGTAAGTCTTCAGCCCCAATGCAGTTAACTAATATATTTCTCTTCATTTAACTTTCCTATACTAGAAAATATTAAAAAGAGATAATCTTGGAACACTATTTATACAATTAAGAAGGCATTGCATGAATAATTTTCCATTTTTAATACCATTAAGACAGCTATTTATCTAATTAAACATTGAACTCAAATCAAAAAGGTTTGTCTAAAGTTTTATTCCTATTTTTAACCTAGAAATGATGCATCTCGCTCACTCACAACTAATAATAGAGTGGAAATAACATAACTTGCAAACTAAAAGTCAGTATAGCCAGCACATCATCTATTTATTATGAAAAGACTATTTTTTTTTCCTTAAAATTATGGTTAATTTATGTAATCTAGTAGTAACAGAATTTGTATCTTTTACACTAAACGATTTTTATAATCTAGTTCATAGGTGCAGTTGACCTGATCCCTTATACTCCCTTAAGACATTGTTCTATCTTAAGAGGGATGGATTGGCGCGTTTTTATTGCGCAATATATTTAGCGTTCCGATAAAACTGGACGTCATAAAATTTGTCACAGATGGTTTTCTAAACCGGGACTGACCGCCCTTGCGGTCATATTTATTGCACCAAGGGATTATTTATTATTCATTAGGTAAGCGGTTCTGGGTTGTAAATACAGACAGTTGTTATTAAATATTTTCTTCATAGGAGAGATTTTTTTAAATATATGCATTTAAAAAAAGTCGGAGTGAACTAGTATGAAAAAAAGCTTTCTAGTACTTAGTCTTAAAACTTAATACTCTAATATGTACTTAAATACTTTACGTATATACTTAACAGAGCTGGGTAATTCCTAGTTAAAAAATAATTAATAATTACATTTACTTTTTTTCATGCAATTTGTAATTATATTTAAGTTTTTTTTTTCTCAAAGTAATTTGTAATTGTAATTGCAGCAAAATATGTGGCGGAATTGTATTTTGTAATTATATTAATTTATATTATTTAATTTGTCTAAATACAATTACTTTTCCAATTAGAATTACAATTACATTTATAAGTAAAATTACTTGTAAATGCATGTTTATGAGAAGCATATGATATAAAAACAAAAAAGTGAAATTGTTTAACCTAAAATAATAACAGTAGGAGTAAGTAGATACAGATATCCTTATTTCTAAGACGTATTTTGTATTTATATTATTATAAACATAATTTATGTTGCATAAACATATTATAAACTAAAAAAATATAGTATTAAATGGTGAAAAAAGCAGTTTTTATGGGGTAAATACTATAAACTACTTATTTATTTTGCGTAGGTATTTCTAGTTATTATTCTAGTTTTCTATATTGAAATGTGGGCGTAGAAAAAACATATTTTTCTACACCTACAGGGGTATTAGCTTATCTACGCACAGATTAAAAAATGAAAACTGAACGAATATATTTCATATCTATTCTAAGTAGTGAGAACACTGAAAAAAAAAATGAAATCCACCAATCACAGTTTATATTTTGAATACCAAACTACTATTATTTTTAAAATTTTAAATTAGTGACAATTATTCTGTCAAACTAATTGTCAGTATATTTTTTAGTTATTGAGAATAAATGAGTTATTTTTGTTTAGAATTGTTAAAAAATAACATTTTTATTTTTATTTAGGCCACAATATGAAAGAAAAATTATATTTTAATCAAACTATATAAAACTAGTTTAATTACGAGTATTAAAACCAAAATCATAGAGGTGGCGGTGGAGTTGAGGATCTGCTTTCCATGCGAATAGCCCAAGTTTAAATCTGGACAAGGGACTAATTTTCTTTTGTTTATTTTATTTTATGAATTAGTAAAAAACAAATTATTTTAAAATTAGTTATTTTGTCTTAATAAATACTTAAATACTTAAATACTTAAATACTTAAATACTTAAATACTTAAATACTTAAATACTTAAATACTTAAATACTTAAATACTTAAATACTTAAATACTTAAATACTTAAATACTTAAATACTTAAATACTTAAATACTTAAATACTTAAATACTTAAATACTTAAATACTTAAATACTTAAATACTTAAATACTTAAATACTTAAATACTTAAATACTTAAATACTTAAATACTTAAATACTTAAATACTTAAATACTTAAATACTTAAATACTTAAATACTTAAATACTTAAATACTTAAATACTTAAATACTTAAATACTTAAATACTTAAATACTTAAATACTTAAATACTTAAATACTTAAATACTTAAATACTTAAATACTTAAATACTTAAATACTTAAATACTTAAATACTTAAATACTTAAATACTTAAATACTTAAATACTTAAATACTTAAATACTTAAATACTTAAATACTTAAATACTTAAATACTTAAATACTTAAATACTTAAACACTTAAATAATTAAATACTTAAATACTTAAATACTTAAATACTTAAATACTTAAATACTTAAATACTTAAATACTTAAATACTTAAATACTTAAATACTTAAATACTTAAATACTTAAATACTTAAATACTTAAATACTTAAATACTTAAATACTTAAATACTTAAATACTTAAATACTTAAATACTTAAATACTTAAATACTTAAATACTTAAATACTTAAATACTTAAATACTTAAATACTTAAATACTTAAATACTTAAATACTTAAATACTTAAATACTTAAATACTTAAATACTTAAATACTTAAATACTTAAATACTTAAATACTTAAATACTTAAATACTTCATCATCATATTGTAGTGCTAGATGATCTACTACTTAATATTTTTAATGTTGCACCTTTCATGTTACTTAATACTTTACTTATGCTTACCATTTCTATTGTATTAAATTAATAGCGGCATGGAGGAATACTTAATACTTCACGTTCATATTGTAGATCTAGATGATCTACTGCGTAATATTTTTTATTGTTGCAACTTTTTCGATGATATAGTGATTTGTTTCAGAATTGGGAACTTCTGATTCTGTCGAAACTTCAATGGAACATATCAGCAGTCACAGGATTCGATTATATCGATCAAGTTATCGAACGGTGTCAATGGGGAAGTGAAAATCCACTTCTTAGGAGGCATGCTCATACCTTGGTGTCGATATGCTATACCGGTAAGTCATAATAATAAGTATGAGAGTCAATGTGTTAAATAATAACGAAGATTAAATTTTAACTTTTAACACCCTGTATCTATATGTGAGAAGTAGATAATATGTGACCCAGTGTCATTTAGCATAATATTAATATTGTAAGGTCCTGGGGCTAAATATTTACCATTCCTTATCTAGCAATTTTTAAGCTTTATGACAATTCATATTTTTCTGACATCTTACAAATCAAATAATAATTGATGTGACGTGCAATATAATAATTTGTTCCTTTACAAATTTACTTATTTATTTAAATACTCAATTTGATATGGCGTTCCAAAGAAAATGACTTTTGCAAATCAACTAATTTCGAAAAATGCGCTATATTCTTTTATCTTTAATTTGGCAAAAAATTAGATTTTTAAGCATAAATGGAAATCAGTCGATTCAACTTTTGTTCTACACATATACGATTTTTTTACACAGAGATACCTCGTTTTTCAACTATAAATAGAGTCAAAATAAAAATGACAATACTTTAATATACCTTTTATTTTAAAACCTTAAATATTCACTCATTATTTTAAAACTGTATCAATTTTTAAAATCCTTTATTCATTTTTCTTTTATATATATTTTTTAATGGGTTATATGTAAGAATAGCACATGCTAATTCACGCCTCACACTATGTAACATGTCCTGTAAATAATTTAATCGAATTTGGCATTTGTATACTTCATTACATAAACCCAACAGCACCGTAATTATCTCGACACCACCCATCAACATATCCGACATGTGCCTTTTAAAAAAAAAATCAGCAAACGCCAACAAAAGAAAGCAGGAATCGGTCCCTTTAAAAATGGCTGCCGGATTTAAAAGCCATGCAGCAGCATGTGCATCGAGCACCTGGATTGAGGTATACGTATAATAATAATAATAAAAAAAAAACTTATATAACAAATAAATTAAAACAAAAATGGCCCTGCGAGAGCATCTGCTGCCGGTATATATACCCCTGCTATATTATTTCGCGACTCGTTTCGTGGTCGCTGAACTGGTCCTTGTGTTGCAGGAGGTTTGCAGGAGTTAATCGCCGCGTGATGCGATGCATCGGGCCCCTAATCTATGTAATGAAGCAAATCGTAATGTAGAAACAGGGACGGACTTGCACGGTTTGTTTAATTACGTAAAATTGCAAACATTGGTTTCAAACTCGAGTTTTAGCATATCCAAATAATTTATAATTTTTTAAAGCCAAGCCCATATACTATTACAATATTTTAAATTTCAAATCACATTATTCTTAAGTACCTAATAGTCTTTTTATTTTAATGTATCCAGTTTTTAATCTTGTATTTTATAAATTCTGACAAATGGATCAATATTTGCGTGAATTTCAAATAGATGTTGTAGAAACTTTTATTTTAAATGAATATAAAGAATGTAATTATATTTTAAATATTAATAATGATAGTTTTACAATTTTACAAAATAATATACGAATTTAAAATTCTCCTAAACAATTTTCAGTTTAATTTTGATTGTCTAATACTCACAGAACTTTGACAACTAGCAGATCCTAATATATACGACCTACTAGGTTATAATTTAATTTATAATCATGGACAATATAATCAAAATGATGGTACAGAAATATATGTAAAAAATAATTTTTCCTTTACACATAATATCATAAACTTTTTGAAAGTGGTAATTGGACAAAGAACAGCTTTCTATCGATCCCCTGCTTCCAATGTGAATGATTTTTGCAGATATTACAGGATTATTTTGAAGAAAATCAAACAAATATTCATAAATACAATATTTTTATTGGCGATATAAATCTACTAGACAACAACGATCACAAATTAGAGTATTTAAATATAATTACGGGTACCTGTCAATGATAAATAATGCTACCAGACAAAAAATATGCTTAGATCATATCTTTTTCAAAGATAAAAACATTAATGCTGTCGATATGACAATTCTAATTATACTAAAAACCACAATTACTGATCATAACACAACTTTACTTCAGATAGTTGTAGAAAAATAACAAAAAATCGTTGTTACAAAGAATTCATAAATCATGAAAAGGCGGTGAAATTATGTCAATATATGTCCTGGAGCTCTGTCTACTCAGCTGAGGACCTAAACACTGCAACAAACAATTTTATTAGAGAATTGAAAAATATAATTAAGGCCTGTACTGAAAAAAATTATGTAGGCGTATAAACCGAGAATACCGATCAAGGAGAAGCGACAGTAGCTGTCGGTGCCTTTGATATCGGATGTACCTTTTTCACAGCATGACTTTGATTGATACACAACTTAGCACGCTGAGAAAACATGCTTATTTTCTACACTGAGCGAAATAGTTTGAAAAATTATCTGAAATTATTGTTATAGTCCATGCGCAAATGTTGCAATGTGATTTAATTACATTGAAGTAGTTAAGGTTAATAGCAATTGTGAAATTTCGGCACCAAAATATAATTCATTATGTAATAATTAATTATTTATTATAAAAGTAAAAGACGTTTATTATTTTATAATTTATCTATAAAATTTGTTCAATATTTGGTTTATTTATTGTTAAAAATGTAATAAAAGTCCCTTATTTAAATTGAATTACCTTTTCCTAAAGTAAAAATAAGGTAAATAAAATTAAGGGTGCCAAAAAAAATTTAGGTAACAATTAAAAAGACATTAAGTTTGAGAGGTTAACTAAATATTTGCAATGTGCATATACGGAGTGGCCCAAAAGTCTGGAAACGGCCAATTATCTCGTAAATTGCTAGTCCTAATTGTACAAAATTTAGGGTACACCTATTTTGGATACGGAGATTCTAGATTTGATAGTTGCAATTTTGCCAGATTTGCCGTTTCTCTTATATTATTAGTCACTTTGGTTTTTCAAATTCATCACCCTGTATATTAAGTCATTATTGAAATCTCATATTTAATACGAGTTTAACCATATGTAACACTTGATTTTATGTAGTCTGAAAGGTCTTAAATAAATAAAACAATCATGGAGAAATGTGGTAGATGCATTCTATCATCGATTAGGCTACTGTCAACTCACAAATGGAGAACATTTTGAACATGGTGTAATTTTTCAATTGTTACGTTTTAATGTAGTTGAAAATAGTTTGTATTAAAAAATTTCTGTTACGTTTTAATGTAGTTGAAAATAGTTTGTATTAAAAAATTTCTTAAGAAAATTAGGCGTTGCCAGACTTCTGTTTTATTTATTTAAGACCTAGACTACATAAAATAATCATAAGTGTTACACACGGTTGAACTCGTATTGAATAGGAGATTCCAATAATGACTGAATATACAGGGTGATGAATTTGAAAAATCAAAGTGACCAATAATATAAGAGTAACGGCAAATCTGGCAACATTTCAAATATCAAATCTAGAATCTCGTTATTCCAAAGTAGGTGCACCCCAAATTTTGTACAATTAGAACAAGCAATTTACGAGATAATTGGCCGTTTCCAGACTTTTGGGCCACTCTGTATTTTCAAAGCTTTTAGGTTTAAAAAGTACTTACATATTTTTAGAATTTCTAGATTTATATTATATTAAAAGGACTTTCAAGTTTATCACTCATTTCTGTAGAAACAAGTGTTTTCTCGCAAAGTTAAACCAGATGTCATTTAAGGTTTATGTATTTAGAGTTAAATACCTGGCCTGGCTATCACCCAGACAATACAAATATGTCCATTGGACGTCCATTCGATATACAATTTTGGATGTCTAGACGTCTAAAAATGAGTTTTTTGGACTTCCGACATCCAATGGACGTCCAGTGAAGTATACAAATGGCACACTTTTGACCATTCAGAGGACTTCCAATTCTGCAATATATTTGGACGTCGAATACTGGAAATTCAAAAAACGTCCAGGATTATATTTCCATTGAAACCACATCCCCACTTTTTTTACAGAACCGCAACTCACCACAATTTATTTTATATTATTAATAATTTGTTTATTATTTTCGCAAACTGCTATGCACCATTTATTTATTTTTTATTAAAAATCGCTTGACCTGAGCAGGCATCGAACTCACGACACATCCATTATCGTTTTACGCTTTCAATCGCTAGACGAGCTCGACAAGGAACCACATATAAACTTTTTACTAGATACAGTTTTAATTGAATAATATTTCAAACTTCCGCTGATAGAAGGAAATGCAATAGATTCAATTTGTCAATTTTGATTAAAATAATGACCTAAGATAGACGTCCACTGGACGTCAAAATACTACTAAACTTAAAATTAAGTCCAAAAACAGACGTTCTCTGGGTATCGATATTCAGCTGTCAATTTAATTAGCATAAACGGACGTACACTGGAGGCCCGGATATGGACATCCTGACCCTCAAATAGATCTAAAGTGGACGTCCATTGGACTGTGTGCATAGGCGAATTTTTAGAAATAGTACTTATTTAAGTATGCACCAATATTTCCAAAATCAACTCCTGTATGATTCATTCAATAAATGTAAATATGAATGGGCAAAACATCTTTATATTGACATAATTGTAACTTACAATTTAGCCATAATAAAGGGATTTCGCCCACTTTGACTAATCCTAAAAAACATATATTTCACAAAATACAATACCTACATATGAAAAATAAAATGTCAATTATACTTAATATTTATGCATGTGATAAAATTTTTAGTTTCCTAATAACTTTTTGGCACATTTTATATCTGTATTAGAATACCTAAGTGTGTAAAAATCATCTTATTACTACACAAAACAAACACCAAAAAATATCACTTAACATTGCTCACGTACTAAACACAACTTGGACTGACTTTGACAGATAACATAATTTTGAGTGATACACAACTTAGTTTCGCACATGCGCGTTACAAAACGGTACACTGAAAACACCAAGCTGTCGCTTCTCCTTGATCGATATTCTCGGGTATAAATACAACTTTTTTTGCACCATGGCTCACAGTTTATTAAAAATGAAT